GGGGCCTGTGTGGAAGGGGGGCCGGGGAGGGGGGGGGGGGTAAGGTGCAGGGGGAGCAGATGTCTGTGCAGGCCGCATTGAGGTGCGGGTGGTCGTAGTGAATGGAAGCACCGTTGCGAAGAAGGGACGAGATCCAGGTGTGCCGGGCATCCCACCCTACCCACCCCTCTTCTCACCTTGCTTGGGGCTAGGCTGCACGGCCACCACCATCTCCATATGGGAGGACTTCTCAGACTCCAGCTCTGCGGAGGCAGGGCAGGCACCCTCCACATCCACCTGGGCGCCAGCCTCGGAGCCGTCGCTGATGAGACCGTTCAGGGCCGCCTCCTCTGATGGTGTATCGGGCTCAAGGTCGATCTGGACGAAGGCGTCCTCCTGAGGGTCGAGGTAGGCATCGTCTTTAGGCTGGACTGGGGTGGAGTTCCGGATGATGGCGCGCTTGGACTCCACAGACTCGAAGGAGGGGGGCAAGTCGGAGATCTCGGATGCTCGGGGCATATTGTCCGAGTGGGACTTTTTGGGCTTGGGCTGGAGACCGCGGCGGAGGCCGATGTTGGCCGCGGGCATGCCGACAGAGCTGCTCCTGATGGCTCGCACAGCGTCAGGGCGGTTGCGACCTGGTGCGGGGACCTATGGGAGACACCAGAGCGTTCTGAATTGGAGGCTGGAGGACTGGCGGGGGCGATGAAGACAGCCTAAAGCAGGGTCTCAACGGTCACCTGACCGACAGTTGGACGACTGCATATGAATTGTAGGACCCTCCCAAGCAGGCTCCTGAACTTATTGGCTTTGGGATTCTGCGGATAAGATAGAGGAATGCTTCTGAAATGATTGTCAGGGGAGAAAGGTGTCTGTGCGTGGATTTGTGCCAAACTTAGAAATCTGCGTCACTCACGGGGAGACCCAATCCGCACAGGGAGGGCTGGCTGACCGACATTGTTCAAGTGCTGGGCTTGAGAGGGGAGTATTATTATCAAGGGGGTCGAAGGGGAAAGGTTGTGGGGCGTCACAAGCGCCCGCAGGCGCTTTTGTTCGTTGCAGCTCGACGCCAGGGTGCCCTGAAACAGCTCCCAGGGACAAAGGTGTCCCATCCGAACCTCGCGGCCCTGGGACTCTGGAGGGTGCGGACCCGGCAGGGCACGGAGGGGAAACAGTTGGGGTCTGTGTGTCAAATAGACAACCCTTTCGGAGATGCAAGTGGTGGTTGATGCCTGTTGAGATAACCGTGAGATCGGACCAAACCACTCGACCATTGTGACTGCGACCCAAGCCTCTTCCACCCATTTCGTGCGACGGGCCACCGTGCCCACGGATTGAGGGGAATGTACCATGATGTGTTCAGGATGTTAACCCACGAGTGAGACTGCCGGTCTCGGATGTCTGTGTCCGTCGGGAGTTCGCATATGTAGCTCTCTTATAGCAGGAGAATGGCACAACGCGTGGTAAGGATCCCACAGGCCCCCATGCTGTATTCCACCCAGTGGGTTACAGCTCTTTGGATGCTGCGATCTCCTAGTACGGCTAGCGGCGGGTTGTGGGAGGTGTGTCTGATCCGTGTGCATCTGGGCCGGTGTTGGGCTTGTGCGCTGGGGTGTCGCTCACTACGTGCATCTTTGCCACGGCGAGGGATCCGCACCAGCGGCCGCCGGGTCGAAAGCCTTTCCTCTCGCACCTAGAGGAATGGGCTCTCACCTTTTTCGCAACCATCCTTGGCTACTGTTCAACATATCTCCCCCTGGTGGTGCCCGAAGATGAGACAGCAGAACTTGTGCCAGGCATGACAGATCGCAGCAGTAGCCCTGGCATGACAGATCGCAGCAGCAGCCTAGGTTTGAAGCCTTCCTTACAAGATGCAAAACGATCACCCCACTGTGGCACATCGATCGCTGCCCAACGGCGGCCCGCTGATTGGGAGTCTGGGTGGCTGACTGTTCTAATTTGCTGGCAACGGCGCCCAGGCCTCGTTCACCAAATGAGGATTCCCAGGACAGTGAGAGGCGTCGCTGCTTGCCATTGGCAACGGGGCACGATGGGAATTGCACAGGCGACGGCGGGGTCGGGCTTCCTGTGCCTGCAGCCTGGCGCCACACTCCACGGCGGACACATGCCACTCCATTGGTCACCCAGCAGGTCTTTAGACGCCCGGTTCCTCTGACCTCTCCTTGTACCAAATATGTATGAGTGGTCACTCAGCAGGCCCTGCAGTAGTTGCGTGTGCCCCTCCGAGACCTGTTGGCCCCCGCTTCTCGAGGTGCAAACTCGGGTGGGAATGCATGCCTGAACATGCATCAATCACCACACAAGCTGGCGTGCAGCATCCGCGCGTGGGCTGCGCATGGGCTCCAGAGTGAGGATGAGGAGTCCGCGACGGTGTTACCCTCGGCGCCTGGGAGCTCTGTCCTGCTGCGCCGCCGCCTGCAGACCTCGAGTTGGCTGCATCACCGTCTCCAGCCGGCGTCGCCAGGCCGTCAGCCGTCAGCCACCAGCCCTCGGTCCTGGGTGCTCAGGGGTCGCCCCGCATCGCCCGCCCCAGCGCGACCAGATCCACGTCCATGGTGAGGAGGAGGGGGGAGGTCTCGCGCAGCGCCACCTCGTCGGCCCGCCCGCGCAGGCGCGCCACGGCGTCACCAGCCTCCACCCCCGCCCGCACGCTGCAGCAGACCGACAGGTCCAGGCCCTCGCGGGAGAAGAGGGCGTACAGGCGCTCCATGCGCGCCGTGTAGGCCGCCAGCGCGCCCTCCTGCACGCCCTGCTGCGGGTGGGAAGGGAGGGTGGGGGAAAGGGGATGTGAGGGTCTGGGTGGAGGGGGACAGCCAGGTCCTGGGATGGCTGGGGGCCGCCGGCACGCGGCACCCCAAAAGCCCATGCAGAGGCGTCAGCAGAAGGGGCGCCCACCTTGAAGCTGGCGAGGAAAGCGCGTCCCACGGCGTGCACGAGCCGCACCGCGCCCGCGGGGGAGATCGCACTCTGCGTCGGTGGGGAGGGGCGGGTGGGGGTGGGGGGGCGTCGTGTGCGGGTCGGTGATGCAGCAAGCGGCGTGCAGAGGTGATGGGAGGCAGGAGGAAGGATCAGCAGGGATGGAGGGGGGTCGATGCCAGACTGTGATCCGGCGGGGACGGGAGGGTGGTGGTGCTGTGCAGCGTGCCGCCTGGTGGCGCCAGCGCCCTTGCTGGCCCGCCTGACGTGCAGGCACCGGGAGGGAGAAAAGATGGTGCAGCCTTGCATGAGGCCCCCAGGCTTCCCCCTCCCCCCTGCCCCCCCATTGCTCAGGAAGCCGAAAACATGTTTCCCACCTGGTAGCCCAGGGACTGGACCTCGGCCCGTAGCCTGCTAATGTCGGAGCTCTCGGCCTGCAGCAGGTAGGCGGTGGGCCGCGCCGCGCTGCCCGCGCCCGCCCGCCCCGCTGCCAGGGTGGCGGGGCAGAAGCGGAAGCTGACCACGTCCCCCAGGTGGCCCAGGATCCGGCCCGCCGTCGGCACAAACTGGTCGCCCAGGGTGGACGAGTCCATGCCCTGTGATGTGCGCATGTGAATTGTGTACGTGTGTGTGTTTGGGTGTGGGGGGGGGGGGTGTCTCAGGAGAAGCGAGAACTGGGCATGCAGTGTGACGCTCCACCCAGCAAGGAAGGCAAGGCGGCCGACACGAGGAAGCCCGGCAGTGGCACCTTCCACCCATGGCCCAGCGCCCCCGCCCGCCCCGGCATCGCAGTACCTCTAGGATCTCGGCGATGCGGCGCTCGTCCAGACGCACGCGCAGCGACAGTCGGTTGACAATGAATCGGCCGAGGCTGGCGCCCAGAAGCGTGCGCGGGTTGGAGAGCGCGGTGGCGGCGCTTTCCTCCTGTGACGGGGTTGGAGGATGGAGGAGGTGGCTCAGAATTCCCGGTGTAGGTGGGTGGTGGGGGGAAGCTGCCTCTTCAGCAGCGAGCCGGGGGATGGGCGTGTGCACACCCAGATGCAGGAAGGGAACATCTCTCATCCTGAGCATGCACGCCCCAGCAGCAGCCGCGGCCCTGATGCAGGCTGCCTGCACCACAGGCAGAGCCCACTGCCCAGGGGTCGCACTGGCCAGCATGCACGCCTGCACAACCCAAGGGGGCCCGACATCCCTCCCGCCACATGCGCACGCCCGCACAC